TTCAAATGAGCTCAACTGTAGCTAAACTGTAAAATTAGCAAAAATGTTAGCTACAACAGCTGTTTTTCTTTCGGCCACTTTATGGGGCCGGAATTGAAAAGGCAATCAAATTTGCAGAAAAGTTTTGAATTAAAATGATCAAAATAATAGCTAAAAGCTAAATTTTATAAAACTATGGCAAAGCTATAATTGGAAAAACTGTACCTAAAGATTAATATTTACAAAACCATAGGTAAAGGTTACTTTTAACAAAACTGTGGTTAAAAGCTAAATATAGCAAATCAGTAGCTAAAAGGTAATCTAAGTAAAATGGTGTCCAAAAGGTAAAATGAACCTTTGAAGACATAAATACAGGAAGTACGTTGAGTAGATTTCAGAAGTAACTGAAGGGATTTAAGTGTATGTATTTCTCATGAGAGTTTCTGTAAATGAATCTAAATAATTAATAACATATTGTTCCCGATCAAGCTAAAAGTTTTGCTGTGTGAATGGTTAAAGTTGTACAAAGTCAGCAAAGATATAAATAAAGAAACCACGAACAGTTAAACAGGTGTATGAATGCTGATCTATAGTTCTGTCCTCAGTGCCTGTGAAAACAAGCCAGGTCTAGCTCCATCCTCCACCCCTGGAACACAGTGTCGCTCCATCCACCCCTCCGGACCCCCACCCTTACAGAGGCAGCTACAGCCACCCCCCTCTCAGCTCACCAGCTCGGCTGCAGCCGCCAGTCCCTTTCGCTGCCACAGCCTCCCACAGGAGAACCAGCAGTTCGCTCTGCCTCGCGCCCCCACCAGCTGCTCAGGTGCATCTTACAGCACAGAGCAAAGGTGAGTTCTGGGTGTAGTTCTGCCTGTAGCGGTGGGCGGTGCTGGTTTTGATTAAACAAATTGAGAGGAGATCCTGAAACCTGTGCCTGTCTCCCTCCAGGTTCCAGCGGCAGCTCTCTGATCCCTGCCTGCCCTTCCTGCCTCCAGAGAAAACCACAAACACGGCGTACCACCCCTCCGCCTGCGACGGCAGACCTCTGTACCAGCGCCACCTGTCGGAGCCCCTCGTTCCCCTCGCTGCCCGCGGTTTCAAACAGGAGCTGGTGGACCCTCGCTACCAAGCCTCGGGACCTCCTGGTCCAGGTCTGCCTCGGCCACAGACCACTTTTAACCACGTCAAAATTAAACAAGAACCAAGAGATTTTGGCTTTGAACCAGGTGTGTGTGAATTCTTATTTAACGTATCGTTTTGTGTTGAAACAACTGAAGGAAACCAGATTTATGTTTTCACTCGTGCTTGTTCCAGAGGTTCAAACCTGCCAGACATCCTTCAGCAAGTCTTCGGTTCTGTTTCAGAAGAACAGTGCTGGTGAGTTTTTATCATCCTGGTTTTAACGTTTTGCTGGGGTCCACCACACCCTGAACTGTTCCTTTCTCTCCTCAGGGTTTGGGTTTGACCGAGAGCCTCGTTTGTACTTCGATGACACCTGTGTTGTTCCAGACAGACTTGAAGGTGAGGCGCTGCACTGAAACTCACAAACTACACAAAAACAAGCTGAAACTGGGTTGTGTAAGCTAAAAGAAGRACATTATTAGCTAAAATATAAAAGTAGCAAAAGCTAAAATCATCTAAAAGTTAGAGGCTAAAAGTAGCAGAACCATAGCTAAACACTAAAAGTAGCATAAGTACACGTACACTGAAGCAGATTCCAAAGAGAAGAATGTTTTTGAAGACAAAGAGATCTTAATGCATTTTTATAGGGAAAAAAAATAATTATGTTAAATATTTTGAAAACCATAAAAACAAGAGCTGTAGCGTCAGAATGCTTTGATCGTATGAATACTGTCAATAGTGTGAATGCTGAATCAGAATTTGCACAATAAATACTGAGATTTGAGACATTCAGCAACTTGTTTTTATTTTTTGAAGCTATGAGACACAAGGGTTAACCATATGATGATATTTATGACTCTTACAGAGCTTTTTCAAGATCTGAGTCAGCTCCAAGAAATATGGATCGCAGAAGGTAAAACATCTTAAAATAAAAACTGACAGCTTGCAATAAGCCAATTACTCTAAATACAACCGAGCTCTTCGCCTGAATTGTTAATTTTAGACTTAGCAAGTCTTTAATCATCTCGTCTTCTGTCGTCTGACAGCTCAGGTTCCTGATGACGAACAGTTTGTCCCTGATTTCCAGTCCACTAACTGTGAGTAGCTATTTCTCCTCCCATATCTGTGTATTTATATACTGTATATAGTGTGTGTGTGTTTATGTATCTCACATCTTGTAGAACTACACATTTTTCATTCATGTATCCTGATGGTATGAGTGTTTAGCAGTGAATCACTGACAAAAAAAATGTAAGTAAAACAAAAAGTTAGAATGAATTTAACTTGCAAACATTTTTTTGCAGTTCAAAGTATCATTTATCACATATAATTAGGTCAAAAATCTCAATTTTTATTCATGGACTATTGAAAACATGAGTCATTTTGTTCGTTTTTTACTGGTTACTGTTTGTTTTGACTCAGTCTGTCGGTACAAATTGCAAATGAATTCACGCACAGCTGAAAATAGACCCACAAAATACAGCCCTGCCTACTCAGGCTTCAAAAAAGGCTTCAAAGACATGACAGTTTTATTTATATTTACTGTGAGTGGGTGTTTGAGTCGGAGAGAAGGAGCTTTTTTTGAATGGGTATAAAAACCAAAATGAAAAGTGAAACAAATATGTGACAGTTATCTTTTTAGGCAGCAGTAAAAATAGAAAAAAAAATATATATATATATTTTAGGACCGCTTTGGGTTTTTTTAGATCTAAACTGGCTAAGCCTGCTGTAAATATANCATTAATATTTCATAAACTATAAGTTTTACAGGCACCAAAAGGCATAGCCATCATTTGGCACAGGGGCTTTACAGATATAAATTACAATGGCAGCTCTAGGACAAAGTATGCAGGAGGAGAAGCATGGCAAATTTGAGATGACTTAGATGGGAAACGAATCACAATAGTGTGCATTGCGTTGGCAATGCACACTGACTAGCTAAAAGTAAGATGCAGATGCTAAGAGTACCATAAGGTCAGCTTAAAGTAGTAGTACAGAAGCTAAGAAGCAAAAGAAAAAGAACACTAGCTAAAAGCTAATAGTTGCAGAACAGAAGCTAAAAATGGTGAAAGTTAGCTAAAAGTAGCAAAAAGTTAGTGAACAGTATGACACATGAGCTAAAAGTAACCAAAGGAGCAACTGTGCAGAAGCTAAAATTAGCAAAACGTCAAAAAGCAAAAGMATCAAAAGGTTACTTATGATTAAAGCAGCATAATGTAAACAGTAGCTAAAGGCAAAGATAGCAGCTAAAAGTAGCCATAGTCTAGCTAAAAACTGAAAGTAACTAAATATTAGCTAAATGCAAAACACAGAATGGTAGCTAAAAYTGAAACATGGCAATAGGGTAACTAAAAGTAGCAGCAGACTATCTAAAAACTAAAACAAAACAGTGATTATCAACTAAACKTAGCAAAATAGACGAGATCTGGTTTGTTGCAGCAAATTAGAAATGTTTTAAACAACTTGGAGTATTTTTTAGAGAAAGCATTTATTTAGCTTAAAAATGTTTGAAAAGTATGAATGTTACTGAAACTGTGTGGAATATTTTAATATGTGTGTAGTATCTACACTTTACAAATTTATGACCAAACTCATAAAAAGTATATTTTTTATGCACTCTAAAAAATGAAGTGTTGAATTCACCTAACCAAATTTACTGGTTCCACTAAGCCTAGATGTGTAAATGTTAAGAAGTTTACATATTTTCTTTAAAAGATAATGTGTAAGATGCTGTTTAGTGAAACCAGTTTATTAAACTTAATTCAATAATTCATTTCTTTGTCTGTTTAAAAGCTCTTTAACTCTCCTGATTTATTGTTAACAGTTTTATGACTTTTATGTCAGTACTTATCAGAAATTCATTTTCTATTGAGGTATATTTACGTTTACTTGGTTATTTCTTTGAAGTACTTTATATACCTCTGCTAAATAGCATGAAGGAGGCAGAAGTGGTTAAATTACAGGAATTGAAGGAGAAAAATAGGAAAGCAGTTTGTGTTAATGCTGAATCAGCATTAACTTACATTAATTTGGAGCGAACCTAAACCCTTCTGTTGTAATGTCCAAGCTGAACAAACTAACAGTGATTTGTTCGGCAGGTAAAGTTAAGCAGGAAGGTTTGCCGTACCAGCGCCGCGGCTCCCTGCAGCTCTGGCAGTTCCTGCTCACGCTGCTCGACAACCCGGCTAATCGACACCTGATCGTGTGGACGGGACGCAACATGGAGTTTAAACTCATCGATCCTGAAGAGGTGAAGCTTCAGACGCTGGAATGATTTTGATTTTTGATCATTCTGAAGTGTGAGGAACTCAAACCAGTCAGGCAGCATGTATTAATGAGATGTTTTCTTCTCGTTGTTCAGGTGGCTCGACTCTGGGGGATCCAGAAAAATCGACCGGCCATGAACTACGACAAGCTGAGCCGCTCACTGCGGTACTACTACGAAAAAGGCATCATGCAGAAGGTAAAGGCGAGTTCTGTTTCCTTCACTTTATTTGTCACCAGTTGAAAGCTTAATGAAGTCCCTGTCTGTGTGTGTCAGGGTTATTATAGTTAACTAAAACTAACTAAATAACGAAAACTGAAATTGAAAAAACATTTTAGTTAACTGAAATAAATAAAAACTGTAATGAAATTAAAAAACGATAACTAACTAAAACTGTATAATCTTTTTACAAAACTAACTAAAACTTTAGGTTGAATATCCTTATTTTTAGTGTTCGTCTATTTATTTTAAGCCGTGTGGACTGATTAAACAAATCTTTTTTTTTTTTCAAACCTAGCAGCTTCACATTAGCATCTTATTCATGGCCTGGAACATCATTTGTTTACAATTTGCTGCTGCTCAGCGCTAATCTGCAAAATGACAACAAAAATTGGGAGAAAGCAGCAAAGTTCCATGTGGAGGTTTTTTTGAATGACTGTTAGAAAAATAAAAGCAAGTGTCTTGTAGTGGAAACAGGTGTTWAAAAGGTTGAATACTTCTCAAGGGACTATTGTGAGTATCTTGACAAGCTCTCTCAGTAGCCCCTATGAAAAACAAGCAACAGCCCGGCCAGGTGGCACCGGGTTGGAGACAACTCTCATTACCTTCCTAAAATAATCACCAAAGTTATTTGTTGGCAAAATTGAGTTATGAGATTATTTTAGGAAGATGTTGCTATAATGGACTGTTTTCACTGGTGACCAAATAGCTGCTGGTTAATGAACTCACAAGTACACTTTAAGTGGGAGGATGCCTCAGCAATATGTTTATTCAAACCATAAAAAACTAATACTAGAGCTAATGAAAACTAAACTAAAACTAAGCATTAAAAATGCAATAATAACTAATAAAAACTAGCAAATCTACTTTAAAAACTAATTAAAACTGAATTAAAAGAAAAAAAGTTAAAACAAAACTAAACTATAAT